CTGATCATTCTWGTATCGAGGTGATTCCTCAACACTAAAACATTGAACATTTCAATACGAGCATTCTGGAAACTGTCATCTTCATGAAACACTCCTCAACCATGCACRTACATATTTTCAGCATTTTTCACAAAGGAAACGGGATCCAAACACAGGATCTGCTGAAATGCTGGTGACTGCTTTGTATGAAACCTGCGCTTCCTCTTCATGTATATTTGCTAGTTCAGGTTTCCATTTTCAGTTCTTCATGCCATTAGACTGGTAAGAAATTGATTTGTGGGACTAAGAAAGGGATCATCCCCCTGTGCTCCGCTCTGGTGAGGCTGCACCTCGAGTGCTATGTCCAGTTCTGTACCCTCACTACAAGAAAGACACTGAGGGGCTGGGGAAGGGTCCAGGGAAGGGCAGTGGAGGTGGGGAAGGGTCTGGAGCACAAGTCTTATGAGGAGCARCTGAAGGAGCTGGGATTGTTTCACCTGGAGAAGAGGAGGCTCACGAGGGACCATCTCATTGTCTGTGGCTGCCTGAAAGGAGGTTGGAGCCAGGAGGGATTGGACCTCTTCTCCCAAATAAGGAGTGAGAAAAAAGTAACAGGAGGAAAGTGCCTCAAGTTGCATTGGTGGAGGTTTAGATTGACTGTTAGGAAAAATCTCTTCATGGAAWGAGTTGCCAAGCATTGGACCAGGTTGCCCAAGGAAGTGGTTAAATCACCAGCTCTGGAGTTATTTAGAAGGTGCATAGATGTGGCTCTCWGGGACATGGTTTAGTGGTGGACTTGGCAGTGTTAGGTTAACAGTTGGGCTCAATGATCTTAAGCATATTTTCCAATCTTAATGATTTCATGATTCTATTCTAAGTGTTTAATGATTCTTACAGGTGGCAAAGGGGAAATATCTGTTCTCAGGAACAGTCTTGGAACTTCTTTTGTTTCATACACATGTAGACACAATACTTCCCAGAGGCCTTCTGGTTACAAAGGGCTTTTACTTTCATAGAAGGTATGGAAGTAAAAAAAAATTCTTTCGGTTGTTTTTTTATTCTTGGTTGTTGGGGTTTTTTTCTGTTTGCTTTGGAATAAGAGAGTTTTTGTGTGACAGTGTGTTGCACCATTGTGACCTATTTTTCTGTATGACTTATTCAGTATATTGAAACATTCATGTTTTCATTATATTTTTGTTAGGCATTTTCATTTGGTGTTTGTGCTCATTGTCCATGAACTCTGACACCTTGTAAAACAGATCATTATTCTGCCCCAGACCTGCAAATTGAAATTGCCCCAACTTTTTTATTTCATACATTTCTTCAAACATTAAGCAACCACGTTCCTAGAAAATGAACACAAAAGATACCTTGAGAGGATTGCTAATGTATTGCACCCTGAATTTCTCTCTTTCTTTGAAACTGCAGCTTTAACCTTTACAGGACAGAATTTTCTTRTTTTGCAGTTTGCTAAAACACAGGGAACATATTAAGCATAAAAAGAAAATAGAATTGTAACATTAGAAATGAGGTGCAGTAAGAATGCTGGACCCCAAATTCATTTCTAACTACATTTAGGTAGATCTTTTCCATTTGTTTTGGGGTTTGGGTTTTTTGGGGGCGTTTTCTTTTTTGCTTGTTTGTAGGGGTTTTTGTTAGTTTTTGGTGTGTTTTATTTTGTGTTTTGTTTTTTGGTTTTTGTGTTTTGTATTCTGAACAGTTCTTGTTAAGGGCCAAATGGAATGTCCAGCTTCATTCAGTCTTCATTCAGCTTCATGTAATGCAAAGACTTGACGTGCCACAGTCTCTGGAGGTCTGGTTGATTTCCAARATCAGTGATGGAAGAATGGCATTCATAGTGGAAATACTTTACCTTTTAAAAACACAATTGCATAGAAAACTTTTATCTACATTTGTTTATCTTTAGTTACCCACTTTTCCAAGTGTTTAAGTATTATCAAATAATTGTCCATTTCCAGAGAAACACGAAGAGCAGTTGAATTTCTTTGGAGCAACTCATTTTATTTTTCTGTCCCCCTACTGTGGAGTTATTTGAATGAGAATTTAATTCAGTGAAGCCCTGCACTTGTTTTTTTTTTTTATTTTTAAATTCTTTCATTTTCTTCCTTTTCTCCCAGATTTTATTTACTTACTTATTTCTGTCTCTCCATAGTTGTTCTGTGCCTTGCTCAGAGATTGTAGGTAACTCTRTAAAAATAGGCACAGTTCTGGAGTGTTCTACAGGTTTGTTGTTGGTTTTTTTTTGTTTTTTTTTGTTTTTTTGAAGTAGTTTTCTGTTAGTACCTTAATTTCACGTTTTCTGTTAAGTGGCTGCTGGCAGGCTTATGTGGGGGAGGGATGAGAGCTGTCAGTGGATGAGCTGTTAAGTTTCCAGTGGCTTTGAGCTTCTTTCCTAATGTTAGGGAGCAGTGCTKTAAAGAAAAATCTTTTCTATTCAGRWATAATTTTTWGTCYGAACATTCTAAGGATGAGAACCAYTTGTTGTCCTCTGTATATTGTGAAACATAGCAATTTAGGTAAGCTTTTATTTGAAATTGGTTTTCTGATTCAATACCATACCATTTCTGAAGGTAGCTGTACTTGTTGAGAACTGTTCTTGTCATCAAGTGGCTCAATGGATGTGAAAGGATGACTTCCAATCTGAGTAAAGGCTTAAGTACCAGAAAAGAAAACTTTAAATTGCGTAAGATATTTATTTATATGTATCTGCTGCTTCTTTTCTCTGAWTGATTCATTTTAAAGGCACCATAAGAGCAAGGCCATGATACTATATAAATATTTTCGTATTCAATAACTCATCTGGAGAAGCTGGAATAATGTCAGGGATGAGAGGGAAGTTCTGGGAAAAAAATCTTCCCTGCAGTGTCTTGAATTGTATCCATCCCACAGGCTGACAGCTGCAAGCAGCAGGCAGAAAGTCCTCAACAGAGAGCACATTTAACAGGTTGCTTTGGGGGATGATATTAGAGTGAATTACCATTTTACCTGCATGCAGTAGTATTGTTAAGGGCTCCCAAATGGTAATTTAATACAGCTGGAGGGCTTTAGAAGGTTGTGTTAGCTTCTTAAGTAGTTAGAAACTGAGGGGGCAATATCCATCCGTTGGACATAAAAGTTGCTGGTGTGAGCTGTGGAGGTGATCTTCAGTTGTTCTGTATTCAGCTTGGGCTACTGATGGAGGGATTCTTCCTAAGACCTGAAATAACCCCAAAATGCACCAGATTAGTATGCAGCAGGTCAGCAGACAGCTGATGCCCGGTATAGAGAGATTTGAAGCTTCTTTTGGTAACATTGATGTAGGGAAAGCACTAGTTTGAGCATTAATTTAYTGGAGTTTTTAAGATGCTAGACAAACCTGTGTTTTTCTCACAGAAGAAGAGAAGGATGGTGCAGGCACTCGGAGAAAAGGAAAAACACTGTTTGTGGACTTGTTGTATTTGTGGTTCCTCACTCTCATGCAATTACTGAAAAGAAGACTTGATTTAAACTGCAATTTTTGTGAAACATGGTGAGCTGGGGGCATTTTTCTCCATCTAAAAAAGCAGATGCTGACTATATTCACTGCTCTGATCATCACCAATGCTGAGTTCTTAGGTACTTCTCCTTTCTTTTGAAGACAACAGAGTAAAATTGCCACCCTCGAACCCACAGGTGGGTTTCCTTTGGCAGAATCTGTCTCTACAGTCTAAAGGAGATGTTCACAATATGTCTCTCCTGTTAAGACAGACAGGCAAAAGTTTGAAGAAGCAACATTGATCTAKGCTTCTGCAAGGTTTGATGCTGAACTTCAGATATATGAATCCACATTTAAAAGTGCAAGACTTTAATCCACATCAGTGGATACAGCACCCAGAATTACCATCAGTGGAGCTTTTTCTTGTTAGCAGTTTAAAGYTGAGTTGCGGAAATGTTCCAACAASCCCTGCATCTACCAACAGTGGAATATTCWGCCTAACTTCACATGAATTTGAGAATAAAATCAGCATCACATTTTGAAGCAGCAATCTGAATAATTGCAATTCTGGTATCAATCAGTTCTTCTTTTATTTTTTTTCTCACATCAGAAGGATTTGGATTCTGCAGTTTTTGTGTTTTGAACCCTCCTGGACTCAGAATTCCCCTTGCTTGATACAGCACCAGCACCCMCAGTTTGCACCAGTGCCCATAGTAGGAACCTGGGGACAAAGGTGCACAGAACTGGGGTGGACATGGTCTAGCTGTTACCAAGACAGACTACCAAAATGTCAAAGACATGTTTGATTGATCTACTTTTTGTCTGTTTCCCCTCCACTGAGGCCACCTGAGTGCTTCAGAGTCACCAAATGAGAAATGTGTCCTGTTAACATCAGGGAGACTTTGACTCCTCCATGACATTAAGAGGTTAAGCTTTCCTGGATTCAGACATCTCTTCCTGCCTTCTCAGGTCATGGGAGCAAAATGGTCATTCTTTGCTTACCAAGAGCATCCTTAGCTGTTTCTGAAGTTCATGATTTTTCTCTTAACCTGCAAATGATGGCATACATGACAAATTGGATGTAATGCAGTCATGTGTGCTGGTATATAGAAGGTGAGGAGATTGTGAGGTTCATGCTTCTCTCTGTCTTAAAAATACTTGTTTGCATAAACCTTGTTTTTATGCTGCCAAACATAAATTAAATTACTACTGTGGACATGCAACTGTCTGTTAGCTGATAGAGAGAAAAACCACAGTCATCTTAATGCTGAGAGATTTGTCAGTATTAGAAGAAACAGATGGCTTGGAAGAGAAAAGATTAGAAGAGGGAAAATTTGAGTATTCTAGTTAGTAGTTAGATCAGTTCCAAAAGCAAAGAGAAAGGATTCATTGTGCATTTTGAGCATAAAATTTTCCTTRATTTATAAAACATCAGCTGGTTTCAGTCCAGTATCAGAGTGCTTACACAATAAGACAGTCTTCGTTAGTCATTTCAGTTTAAATTGGCTGGAGTTTTGATGTTAATTGAATTGTTTTCCCTTTKCAGGGACCTCAGGGGCCTCCAGGACAAAAGGTATAGTATAAACAACAATACTGTGAAAGTGATTATTCCTCCTGGTGCCAAATTGCAAGCAGAAAAGGTGAATGGAATAAGCTACTGTACACTGTATTGAATCAATTAACTTAGGTTCTGAATTTTGTTTTTGTGAAATGCAGCCATATAATGTGAGACACAAGATTTCTCATTTCCCCTGTCACAGGAAGTTCAAGCAATGCAGAGCAGACTGTTTTCAATCTGTCTGCTTAACTTGCAGGTGAAAAGGTCGCTATAATTTTCTCATTCAATACACTGGTGCGATTAGGAAACCAAAGTTAAAACRTTGTGAGAGGTGGGGAGATAAAGTTTGGGGAGATAAAGTTTCTGACTGAATGCATGTCCTTACTCGAGTAGATCAGTGCCATATGAGTCARGAATTGACCAGCAGAAACAAAGGACGAAGGTGTTGCTGATAAATAGGACTTGGTTGGTGGTGTTCAGGTGGTCTGCTATGTCCTCCTGTTCCTGTAACCTGAGACCTGAYTTCCTGGGAATGCCTTCAGCATTATTTACACTCATTAAAGCTGACTGCCTCAGTTTGATTGAGTGAATTGAGGATTTATGGAATTACRTCATTAAAACAGCCCTCAAAATGTCAGCAGTAACAGCTAGTGAGTGGAACTTATCCAGCATCTGACCCACATACCACCAAAGCAAGTAATTTTCTAGATGATTTTGAAAGATTTAAAAGCTGTATGAAAGATATTTAATATAACAGCTTTAATTTATATAAAGGAAGAAAAAAGAGAAAGGAATAAGTGATATTGACATATGTGAGAAGGATGCCTGTTTTTCTTCTGAGATAGTGTTCTTCAGAGTGAAGATTTGCATCTGTTAAAATGAAACTTTTTTAACAAAGAAAGAAAAACCTGTGATACATAAAAACATAATCCCAGAGTATACAAATTATGGAATTTTGGCAGCTGTGAGCTTTACAGAGTTTGCAGGCCGAAGGACTACCCTTTGAGTTTGGCAATGCAGGAATGTGTTCACTCAAGCCCCTTTGCAGTGGCTAAAAGCCATGACCATGTGTCCAGCAAAAAGAAACAACAAGGATGCCGAAGTGGAAGCTTTGGGAGAAAGYGAAGAACATTCTGGGTCGTGGAGATAGGCTGGAATGCAGTGTAGTATTTCTTACTATGGATGGATTTTGAGACCCTCATGAGTTACTTCTTTTTCCTGTTTCACAGGATTTCCAAACGCTATTCATTKACAAATGTGCATCCATTTTGGGTGCATTTCCTTTGGGTGTTGGTGACCTTTGACTAAAACCATTTCTGGTGACACCTCTAATGAAAATAGAAGGGGAAATGCCATGAATCAGTTCTTTCAGTTTCCTTGTTGAGCAGAGCCATCTTTATAAAATAAGAGAATGCTGTGTAAGCAGATGAAGTTTTCCTGCTTTTCTCATGGGTCATGTTTTCACTGAACTTCCATATCAAGTTGCACAASGTCCTTCAAAAAATTGTCCATCACATAGAATCTTACAGTAGGAGAGCTTTGTAAACAAGATCCCTCCAATGTTATAAGTCAATGTCAATATTTTGTTTTCCTTCTGTGCCCCTTGTGTTTGGCCTGTACTGACTTTTTATTTTTGAAGCAATATTGCTGCAATTTAGAAGTGTATCTGTAATTTGCACTGTTAGGCTGAAGCGCTGCAGATTATCTCTTAAAAGGCTTGAGATGGATTGGTGCTACAAGTTATTGAGCTCGAATGATCCCTCTAGAAGCACTAATAGTTTTGTTTAGGTGCTCTGTTTGATTGCGTGGGATCAGTCTCAAAATTGAGAGGATTGAGTGGAATAGCATTTTAATTCTTACATTTCTAGTGAAGCATCCACAACATTACAAAACATGAGCTTGAAGCTTATTTCTGGAGAAGGCCATATAGTCATGGGAATAATGTCTAATTAGTACAAAATCTCAACTGAAAGGAGAGCTCAGCTTGGATAAAAATGAGTTTTTGAAAAATTTATTGCAGCTACAATAAGCAAGTATTCACCATTATTTCTCAGTACTGTATTATGAGATGAAAGGTTTCATGACCTGTTTAATTTGCTAAGCACTGGCGTCTGTTTCCCTCCAGGGTTCTGTCGGGGTGCCTGGTGTTCCAGGGAGAGATGGACAAGTGGTGAGTTCTCTGACTTTGTCAGCACTGCCTTTATTTACGGAGTGGCTTAAAACAATTTCACTCTTGTTCACATGAGCAATATGCAACCTTACATCCAGAGCTGTGGATTCAAATTGGCATCGTGGAAAAGACTGTATGATGTGCTTTGTGCTCTGAAATGTTTTTATAGCTTTACCTGAACAAGCAGCAAATGTAATTAATTAAGCTGAAAGTCTGCTGTTCAGATTTGATGATGACCAATAGGTTCTAAACAGAAATGCATGTTAATAGTGTGTTATTTTAGTCAACATGTTTACAAACAAAGGGTTTTTTACTTTTTCTTAACTCAGTCTCATGATGCAAACACTGATGTTGGTATTGGGTATCGATACGGTGCCAATACATTGTTAATACAACCTATAAATAAAGAAATAAAAAGGAGATGGAAACACAGCTGTAGAATAGTATGAAATTGAATTTTGGGGATGAAAACACAGAGAAAAAAAATAAAACAGAAATATTCTTGAATACAACCAGGAGGAAATGCAAATTCAGGGAAGTCACTGTCACCTCTTAGTAAAGTCATAGTTCAGAACAGCCCTCCATAAGGAGAGGTCCCAGTGAAGCAGCAGGGCTATATTACAGCATTGCTAAGGTTTCTCGGCAAATCTGGGTGATGAAGTTTAAATAGTATCCCTCCCTGACTGTAAACAGAATTATCCATCTGTTGTTCTCACAAGCACTAACATTCCTAGTGAACTTCAAAAGCACTGGCAAGGGATGCCAAAAGGAAAATGTGTGATATATATGTTCACCACAGTTAATCAGCAATAGATGGTAGTGTATAAGGATTGTATTAGACAATCCTCTCTTCTGCTTTCCTCACCAAGAACCCGATGAATAAAAGTTTTAAGATGGTTCAAATAATATACTTTCAGTTCTTCTTTCCTAAAAAACATAAAAAAGGATGCAGTTTCTAATAGCATAATATACAGTATTTTGGAAATGGTTATAAGAAATTATCTGATAATTATTTATTTAACTTTACTGACAGTGGTAGGAATTTATTTTTAAGGTATTCAGAGTATTACAACTAATGTAAAATAACAAAATAAAAAATACTTGAAATTAACTGGATRTATATCACACAAGAATTTATAAGAAAATAATGTGAAACAAATTTGCATTCAGTCCTCAGATTTTTTCCTTCATATTTTATACCCGCATTCAGTTGCAAAATGAATCGTAGGTAGACTGCTTCCCAACTCAGATGCTGTTGCTGTATTTAATTCAACTAATTTTTGTGGCCTAAGTATGACTGAAATGCCAGTGAAAATGCACTTCGTAGGATATCTGGGTATGTGGGAGTATGTAAGAAGACTGGGTGGGGAGAAGTTGCAAACCACATTGAATAGAATAGAACTGATGATTCATATTTTATTCAAGAACTTTTTTAATAGCAGTCACACAACTCCAGTCAAAAATACTCACTCAGATAAGCACAAAAAATTGATAATAATGAAATGTGTCAAATGTGGGATTAATGTTTCATTTTGGGAGACAAGGAATTCTTTTAAGCTCTATGGCAAGGTTGTTGCATGTCTATTTTTAGGATGTCACATAAACTTCCCTGCAATCATGTTTCAGGGGACATAAAGGAAGTATGTAATTGAACATTATGGGAAGATGCAAACTCATCTTTAAATGTTGATTACTAATTTTAAATTGTGCTTTAAAAACGACTCCAACATTTTCAATTTACGCGTTTCCATTTATTTGATTTACTTCAATATCCGTATCATTTGTAACTTCAAGGACATTTTTAAAATGTTACCACTTTATTGAAGATGTCAGTGTATTTTAAGTGTAGCGGGACTGCTTTACTTTTGACCTTTAAGAAAAAAAACTGATTTACTAAAGTAAAAACATAGGTAACATGACAAAAGTCACACAGATAAAAATTAAGTGCTGTTGCATTCTTTAGTTTGATTTCTCAACTCTTGGTTGAAATTAACTAGAAAGCACTTCGTTATTTGCAGAAAATATGCTATTTTCATACAATACTGGGCAGATGAAAGTTGAATGTTGCTATTTCTTTGAATACATAGATAAAAAAATCTGCTTGGAAATAGTGGTAGAAATGAAGTTAAACAGAAGCTGTGTTTGTCTAAAGTTAGAAAGTATAGTGCAGCCTAGGACTCCCATGTTGATATTTTGCTACCAAAATTCTTCCTATTTCTATGGAAAAACAGATTCGCAGTGCAGTGTGACACAAAAGATATTGTTGCATGAGGACCAGAGTGGTGATTTTAAGAGTTGGGCTGCACTGTGAACCAGCTGCTGGCATTCCTGGCTTTACTCATTCAGATTCACGTTGATTTGCAGAGTAGTTGAATTCAACTTGCGTGTGTGATACAAGTCATCCCTTTTTTAGAAGTTACATTGATAAAAAACTTTACAAAAGCCTTACCGTCCCAGTTGTCTTTTAGTCAGTGAGTTTGCTCCATAAACAGCAGCATGTGCAATGCACTRAGGTCCAAGTTAGTATTTTTAATTTGTTTAAAAGGCAGTGAGTGTCAAGCACATGCTTAAAATTAAGTGTGTGAGTGCTTTTCTCATCTGGACAATGAAATATTTTTCAGCCAGTGAATGTCAGCCTCCTTAAGCAGTTGAACCAAACATAGTTAGGTCATCTCCATTTTCTACATGTCTATGTAATTTTCCTTTTTCTTTCCTTTCACCTCTTCTTTAATTGAAATAGTGGGTTATGGGAGACGATTGACAAGTCTGACCMATAGGTCTGGGAATGAGATCATAAATTCTGAGTGCATTTAGAACAGTTTTCTAATCCCATAACATATGAACCACTTCTCTTAGACAAGCTCTAGATATTAGAGTAAGTGTAATTTTACACGACCCACATGTTTTTGCAGGACTGTCTGTTAACTAGTAGATTTTTCTTGTATTCAGAGTAGCAAAATCACTGCCATAAAACCTTCACACATTTTTTTTTGTTTTAGGCCAAACCCAGTGAAACATTTCAGGTAGTCTTGCATGGRCATTTACAGTCTTCATTTGTTCCTACATTTGATAAACTAAGGCAAGTTTATCTTGAGAAAAGTAATTGGAAAGGAGCTGCTTAATAATACCTGCAGCTGGAGAGAGTGTTGTACCTGGGATGGACCAAAACCTGCTGAGATAACAAGGAGAGTCATTCTGAGTGCTCCTTTTCSTTTGCAGGCTGTAGTGCAATTCGCAGGTCGCTTTCTATCACGATGCAATGGCAGAAGGTCCTTRGGCACTCTCAGAGTACAAAAAAGCATTAGTTCTGCGTGGATGTATGAGGCTGCAGTGATCTAAGGATATCTATCATATCTATCATATCCCTATCCCTAACATTAATCATGTTAAAATTGCCACAAAGGGCTTCTTGGAAAGTTCAATTCGGCAAGTATAGCATAAGTATTGTGGTGTTTATTTAGTGGTACTGATTTGATAAGGACTCTCAGTGACTGCAGCAGCAACACAAGGAGGAAAGCAGAGATTCCTTAAGTCAAGATGGTATTTGGCCTGAAGGAACCCAGTTTCTGGAGTCTGTACAACTAACTCTCTTTGTTCTAAATTGGAGTTTGTCTGGAGTGCATAAACCCCTGACTCTGTACTTCCATAGATTGCTTTTTCTTGCATAGTACTCGGTATTTTGGTGGGTTTTTTGTAAGGGTGTATTGAGAACAGAATGAGTGGTTAGGATAGATCCCTTCATTTCAAATTCTTTCAGTAGATTAACAATAGTAATTTGGTAAACCTCAGAAGACTTCCGTCTTATCAGCAGATTCAGAGTCTGGGTATCCACATTTCTTACTGCTTTCTTCATGCTTCTCATTGCTCTAATTCACACGTATTTCCTTATAACTGTGTACAGTACTTTGAAGGAACACATTTTGAAGGTAGCAATACCACATTTCTTTAGAGAAATGAGGAAAGGTATGCATGTGCTGACATTTTTTCAAGTAAAGGGAGAAAACATCATAAACATAGTTCACAAATTCTCAGACAGGTTTGCAGGCCAGCTGAGTCTTGTTGAAGAGCCTTGCCACTTAATTTCAGCTGATGAGTGGGCCAGGAGAGATTTCCAGTCCTTAAACAAACAATTTTAGGTTACTTTTGAGGGGCGCAAAAAGCAAGTTGAAAGGAGGTAATTCAACCCTGGTTTGAAATGGAAATYGTAGTAACGTATCTGAGAAACCATTTTTACCCTCTGTCCCGGTCTATGTATTTTTGAGTAAAATTAGACTGGATTAGGTTTGGGGCCTCTTGTGTTTCCTTATCCTTAAATTGATTACATTCTAGTGACTGAAAAATATAGCAATACTGACAGCCTTTCTTTCAGGGTGAGGTGGATATCAACCAGCTGGTGTAGACGGAGTTCTGCATCKCACCAAAACAAAACCTATTTCAGARCAGCAGCCTCCAGWCTGTTTTTCTGTTACAAACAAGCAAGGCTGGGGCCTCCAGCCATGTTATTTTTAGCTGATTAATTCTGGATATGAAGGTATATGCCTCAAGGGCACAAAGCACTCCAGTAAGGAGAAGCATGCTTTCAACTGCCTCGACTCCTTTGATATGGGCTCTGGTGGGTAATACATTTTCTGACCTGTTCTGAAGTAGATTTTATGAGTTGGTATTGACAGATTTTTCTCATATTACCAGCAGAGCCCAAGCAATGCTCTGTACATTTGAGTACTCATCAAATTCAGATTTACTTCAGTGTAAGCATTAAGATTGCCCCCACCACGAGAGTATCTGAGGAAACCACCACAGTTTTTTATTGAGCAAGGTGTTCAAGGTTGTTCTTTAGCCAGTTACAGGAAAGTCAGGGTTAGTCTGTCAATGTTAATTCAGTTATACAGTTAATACAGGCTCAGGAGTGTCAGGAATTGAACCAAGCTATTCTGGTRTGTGTCCAAAGGAACATCCTTCTGTTTTTTCTTCAAATTATCTGAAACTGTGAATTGAACAGC